GGAGGTACTCTTGGTACCTCCCCAAGCGGGTAGCTATTCTCTGGTGGAGGCCCCATTCTGCACAGGAACTTTGTTCTCCTCTGAAGCAGGACAGGAGCTGCCCGAGAAGCACACAGACGCATCATGGCTAACGAACTGCTGGCGGACTCTGAGAGAACGGTCTAGATGTCTGAAGACAATCAAAGCTGCATTAAAATGCCCCACTCAGAGAAAGCACCCCCCCAACCAAGCGCATCCAAGTGGAATACCATCAGGAGTGAGAAATGATCAGAGACAAGCGGATTGAGGTGAAGTGTCCAATGAAGAACTGGCTGCAGATGAGCTGATGAAACCAGAGGCCAGAAATCGCGCTCTTCGCCTGCGGAATAGATGTGAAGAGGTCAGTGCGTGCAGTGCTCAGAAGGGGAGCTTGGGATTCGTGACGCTGCCTGCCTTCGCTCCGCATGCTTCTGTCCACAAAGCAGGTGGGGGGAAGGGGCCGCTGCCGGACACAAAGCGCGCTGACCTCTTCGCTTGAGCTGCGTCTTGTCAGCCACTTCTCTCCTCCCACCTCACCTGGGAGGCAGGTTCACATGACCCCCTGTGCTCTCGCTCACTCTCTCCTACATGCAGAATCCTTCTCCTCTTCAATGCTTGCAGTCCAGCCACAGATCTTCCCCGCGCACCAAGCATCTGCATGAACATGCCAACCACTTTCCTTCATGCAGGTCACATAGCATTGCGTGACAGCAAGTCAGCCGGTTTAGCCTTTGCCGTAAGCCTCTCAAGTCTGGCCTCCAACAGGCCCGGCTGCAAGGCCCAGCCTCTTGGTGGGACCTGCTCTTCAGCGCTCTTCTGCTGGACCAGCGCAGAACTGGATATCGACCAGGTAATTCAATCATACGGAAGGGAAGCAAAGTTCAGGGGGATCATGCTGCAATTAGAGGACAAGATGCACCCCAGAAAGTCAGAATTTTGCCAATGACTTTCATGCTGCAAGAACACATGATCTCCTATTGCTGACACAGCCCTGCTTGCTTCCTAGTTTGGCCATGAGCAGAGCTGAACCTGCAGAGGAGCAGAGCTGAGAGAGCCCCTCACAAGCAACCCGATACCCCCCCCCCAGGCTTGTGGGGAGGAGCTGGCCTTGGCTCGGTTCCCTGGGCAGCCCTGAGGCGTCATCCTGGGATGGCTGGGGGCCCCCAGAGGGCCTGGGCTGGTCCCTCGCTGCTGCTTCGCTTGCTCCCTGGAAGCCCCCTGACCCTCCCCAGGGGACCCGGATGCTTCAGCGCCACCTGGATGAGGAATGTCGCGGCTGCTTCGGCCCCTGCAGAGCGACTGTCCCCACGCACATCGCGGAAGGAGGCGTGTGGGGCAGGCAGGGGAGCCTGTGCCCAGGGATNNNNCTTCCGACATTCCTTTGGCCCTCCTGGAGAATGGGCAGAGCACAAAGTGTAAAGGAGCAGGACCTGCAGTAACGAGTTGCAGGAACATCCCTCCCACCCCCCATCCCGCTAGGGGTGTTCCTTTTCCAACATCAGCCACTTACCCAGCAGACTAATTCTTTCCATCATTACACGCTTACTGTTTTCCCTTTGGATGAAGGCATGAATGAATGGAGGGACGGGTGTATCAGGTTTCTCTTTTTCCAGCCGGAAGAGTAACAGGCACAAGCTACAGGGAGATAATCCTCTGACATGAGTCTGCATCTCAGCAAGCAAAAACCCCTGGAAGGTTTGGGGTGCGTGCAAGGGAGCAGGAAGGGGTGGCAGACAAGGAGGGGAGATGCATCCCCAAAATCAAGGGAACCTGAGGATGTGCACTTACATAAACAATTGTGTGTACTAATATAAAGTGGGAAATCTGGTCTTCTGTCTACCATATTCAGCCTCTCCTGTTGCTTCGTTCTTGGTTTAACCACAATGCAGTTGCTCTTCCATTTCCCGACTGCATCCTGGGAACGACAATGCAGGTTTGGATGTTGCATCGTGGGAATGCAAGGGGCCAGCGCAAGGAGAAAACGTGGAGGCCCCCATGGGCCCCCCAGGCAGCCACCCTCACTTCCCATGCAGGGACCCCACCAATCACAATGCCGCATCCCGTTCCCGTTTCCCAGGGGGGTTGGAGGCAGCAATTTGGGGTACGCCTGGCAGGTTGCACCTTCCCTTCCTGTTCCTCCACCTTTCCGATGTGGGCATTTCTGCTGAAAGGCCAAGTGAGGCTCTGAGAGAGCAAACAGGGATGGCGCCTGTGAGTGAAGGCAGGCAAGTCAGGGACAGTGGTTGGCTTTGGCCTGGCATGTATTGCCAAAGTTTGCAGGCATTGGAGTTCTTGTGGAAAGGAGAGGAGGAGGAAGGAAATCTGAAACAAGGACAGAAATTCACTGACATGGCGATATCTCTGAAAGGAGATCCCTGTGGATCACGATATTGGGTTCCTGTCACCTTGAGAATCAAGCCGGAGAGAAAACTCCAGGAAGGAGACGGAGAATTCAGGCACTCTTTTGGTTGGCTTTATTCTGGTGACTGCGACTGATCCAGAATGCTTTCCAGGGCATTCTGCAGAAGTAGAAAACGGGTTCTTGACTATCTTTGCAGTCTTCAGAGGGCCTGCCATGAAGGCTCCTGGGGCCTTAAGAAGTGATCCTGAGGAGGGCATCCCCATAAACATAAAAGAAGGGGAAGAGGGGCTCTCCTGCACGTGGGACCCCTGAGAAGGTGTAGAGGAGCATTTCTCTGTCAGCATCATAAAAGGCCACCGACCCCCCATCACAGTTCACAGACACCCGGATAGTCTTTGGCTCCCCACTCATGAGCAGAGCAGAAGGAGGACTAGTGCAAGCTTTGTATGTATTTCCTGAATACCACAAAAGCCAGAACCCTTCCTTAGGAGAAAAATGAACCGGGCCCAATCTGTCCACAGACTCTCTGGCGACACCCACAGCCCAGGATCCCTCACTTCCCACACGGACTTCCCAGGAGTGTCTTCCAGCTGTGAAGCCCTCACAGCCCAGCACAAAAGCGTGGTAGCTGAATCTCTTCGGATTGTCAGGCACATTTTGCATTCCGTCTCCCTTGCTGACACTTTTATAATCCTTGGACAAGATGAGATGAGGATGAGCAGTTTCCGGATCCAGGGTCACATTCGCTGCTGGGGATGGAGACAGAGGAAGAAAGCAGAGGATGAGCCATTTTGATCTCCATCTTAAGCATCAACACCCCACTGACATCATAGCTTCCCCCTCAGTTCCAATACAAGATGAACTACTTAATTCAAAAGCTAAAGGCAGAGTTACAGTTCCCCGAGCCCACTTCCCCAAACCTCTCCTCACTTTCCCTCCCTTTTCCTGACTGCCCACCCAGTTTTAGAAACAACCAAAAACAACAAGTTCCTTCCTAGAAATCATTTGGGGGG